GTGAAAAACAGGCTTTTTTGTCGCCACTAACACCAACCTCTCACATAACCCACGTATTCTCAAACATTCTCTTCTTATTAAACTAGTACTCTTCCATGTGACTTTACAACTAATAACATATGTATTTATATTTATATAATATATGGGGGCGCATAAAAGAAAGAAAAGTTTGAATGGGGCATTGTGACCCAAGTGGCACACGTGCTGCACATTCTTTGAAAGATGATTAAAAATACAAGGTGGCTGCTGTGTTTCATCATTATATTCTGTAGAATCATCTCATGCTCTGCATCATCTTTCCTGGTTCAATTAGGTTTTCCATGAAAAAGGAAGAGAAAAGGTGGAAGCACTACTTAAGAAAAAAAAAGTTTAAGCAAAACCAGACAGTCACTTTGATTGAGATTGCTGTCACTCACACATTTGAATACTTAATACCATTTTCTTTAATTATCACCATCATTGACTACTCTCTCTCTCCCTCTCTCTCTCTCTCTCTCTAGGAAGGACACTACATATTTTATAGCAGACCCATAAATCTAGCTTGCTTTAACAGAAAATGCGGCTTTTGATGACTTGAAATGATGAAGGATGATTATGATGGCTGTGTGTGTCATGAGATGAGAAGATACATACATTTTGACAAGTAGTCTATATCCTCAAGATTTGCTCTCCAGCTCTCTCCCTCTCTCTTTATGGGATTAGATGGTGCGGTGGCATGGAGGAGGGAAGAGAACTCATTAACTTCATTCCTATTGCAAAAGAATTTTGTTAGGCTTCAATAGGATTCGAATGTGAAATTAGAACAACCTTCTTTTAGGTCGAGACTTGGAACTTCAGTTCATTTGGAATAGAATATTACTCTCCCAGTAGGGCTCCAAAAATTTCAGTTCATTTGGAATAGAATATTACTCTCGCAGTAGGGCTCCAAAAATTTCTTGTCCTCTACCCGTTTGGTTCACATAATGGATTTGAGGAAAAATAACTTCCCATGTTATTTCTTGGAAATAGGAAATTCATTTCTCACGTTTGATAATGCTGAGAAAGTAATTAAGAGATTTCACTTTATTTCTTTTTCCAGGTTTGTTTTAAGTAGGAATGGAAAACAAAGTTTGTATAATTTTTCAATTATATCCATTGTTTGTACCATATCTGACCCTCCACTCATACAACGACACGTGGATCTTAGAAACTCACCCAAGTGCCCAAGGCTCCGAACAATCAGCATCGGCTACCGATGATATTGTCTCAAGTGGGCAAAAGGTCGCTACAGACCCAACATAGACTACAATCGGTATCTCCTACCGATTCTGCAGAATCAACCTCGAAGCACCCCCCCGAAATATTTAAAGACTCGTGTCGACCTCATAGGGCCCTCCCACGAGTCCCACATCGAAATTAAGTACTAAGAGCATACAAGATGCCCTCTATAAATAGGCCTCTTCACTACAATACAAGGGTAAGACTTTCCAGCTTGACCTTTATACTAATATATTGTCAACAGCAAGGGCTCTTAGAAAACAATCTTACTTGAGCATCGGAGGGTCTTAGGCTGGTTCCACACCGGTTCCATAGACCTCACGGGCTTCGCTTATCTTCTATTCAGGATCAGCATCCGAGGACAGGAAGAATCTCCATCTAACACTCAATCGATCTGCTAGATCGTCCTCACTGCTTGTAAGTTGCACTCATCTCTATCTGTTCAGTTTTAGTGCCAACAGATTGGCGCCGTCTGTGGGAAACGCTTATTGATTAACCCATATCTCAAACAAGAAAACCCTGAGACCAAAAAATGAATCCATCTTCGGTCCTCCCTGCCGATGGCCCTATTCTCGGCATCGGTGGCGAGCCCAACCTCGTTCCTCTGCTCCACACACCGTGAACAGATCCCCCTGCTCAGCCAAACACTCTGGAGGCTCGCATGGAGACTCTACAGCAGGACATGACCAGAATGCAGGAGCACAACAATATCCTCGCCTCTAAATTGGATGACACCCAGAGGCAACTGCACGATCAGCAAACACACTCCACCCAGCTGCAGAACGGCTTGGAACAGGCCATGCATCCTCGGCAGGAGAAGTCGTTTAAAAGCATACGAAAACCCAACGCTCAGGATAGGGAGAAGCGGCATGCCGTAGACAAACCATTCGCTTCTCAAAGGCTGTTCATACCCTCCTCGAGGGAGCAGCATCAAGAATACCAAATCTACTCCGACTGCCGTGATAGGATCAACGATCAGTGCGAAAAACGGCAGTCTTCGCCCATTAGAATTCAAGCCAAGCTCAATGATCAACGTCTGAGGGCGCTCGGACAGAAATCTCTCGTACACCGAAGGTACGGTGCGATCGGCCTGGAAGAAAGGGACAAACCTAGCATTGGGAAGCGAAGCGACGCATCGGGACACGAAATGACGCGACTCCTCGCAGCCATGCCGACATGTGTCACGCATGCATGGGGGAGCCCAAACGTTGTCAGTTGAAACGTTTCCAATCCTCAGAGACGCTTCAACTTCCCGAACGTTGCAGCTCTAGCCACCTTCGAGCACAACTCCATTAGCGAATGGCAGGCGCACATTATAGAGTTTTCACTCACCTCTCGTGCCGAACGGCAGACGCACATTGTTAAGTTTTCACTCACCTCTCGTACCAAACGGCAGGTATTCCTAAACCCTGACCTACACTATCCTCTCGGACCATTCGGTATCGAATGTCGTCTCTTTTCCAAGCTCACTCCCTCGAGCACTTGGGGGACTACATACCACCATCGGCAACAACGAGACCATCGAGTCCGGGTCAGAATGCCGTAGACAGATTCAAGTCCCCAACCGAGAAGCTTCTCAATCGGTAACTTGGGGGACTACTGTTTGTACCATATTTGACCCTCCGCTCATACAACGACACGTGGATCTTAGAAACTCACCCAAGTGCCCAAGGCTCCGAACAATCAGCATCGGCTACCGATGATATTGTCTCAAGTGGGCAAAAGGTCGCTACAGGCCCAACATAGACTACAATCGGTATCTCCTACCGATTCTGCAGAATCAACCTCGAAGCACCCGCCCGAAATATCTAAAGACTCGTGTCGACCTCATAGGGCCCTCCCACGAGTCCCACATCGAAATTAAGTACTAAGAGCATACAAGATGCCCTCTATAAATAGGCTCCTTCACTACAATACAGGGGTAAGACTTTCCAGCTTGACCTTTATACTAATATATTGTCAACAGCAAGGGCTCTTAGAAAACAATCTTACTTGAGCATCGGAGGGTCTTAGGCTGGTTCCACACCGGTTCCATAGACCTCACGGGCTTCGCTTATCTTCTATGCAGGATCAGCATCCGAGGACAGGAAGAATCTCCATCTAACACTCAATCGATCTGCTAGATCGTCCTCACCGCTTGTAAGTTGCACTCATCTTTATCTGTTCAGTTTTAGTGCCAACATCCATATTAAATCAAATAAAAAAAGAGCGCTTTTAATGATATATTGTAATTCTAAATTATTAATGGGGACAAAATGGTCATGAAAAATGTGCATTGAATGTTGGCTCATTTTCCCAAACTTTCCCATAAGGAGGGAAAACAAAACTCAAGTTGGGAGGAGGGCTTCACTTTCCCATATACTTTCCCATGTATCAGGCAACCATTTCCCATGCCTGGACTTACCAAACATGAGAAAGCAATTGATTTCTCATCCCCAAACCTCCTTTCCCATGAACCAAACGGGTTAGAACCCATATTACTTGTGTTTCAGCTCTTATATAGTTGTGTTCCTCACCCTCACTCGTGGCCATGAATATTTTTGCTTACCGAGCTTTATAACGCACCGGTTCCGGTCCCTTTCAAAAAAGATTGGACTTGAAGTAAAGCTCTTTTTGACGTTTTGGCCACGAAATATAAGATCTAGTAGTTATCTTAAAAGCTTTAGAATCCTTTTAAAAGGTTAATGTTGTACTTTTGAAAGATAATATACAATGAAGTTCTATAACTATGTACTCGAGTAGGAAGGAACTGCGGTAATTTTTTTCATTTCTGTAAATTACAAGTAATTGAAATTCAAGAACTTATGTTCATTTTTGGGAGTTTGACGAATCTATGAAGTAATTTAGTAAAACAATCTTGGTTTTACTACTCTTTCAAGTGAATTTGGATTTCACTCCCTTTGATTTGGTTTAGGTCAAATCCAAGCGTGACAACTTAAGTGCAACAAACCCTAGAAAAAATCCTGGACAGCAAGCAAGCACTCATCCCGACCTACTAGCATGCTGAAGTGCTTTTTACTGGTTGAGAGACAACACGAGCAAGAAGAGGTTCAAATCACACACAATAAAAAGGTTGAAAATATTTTACATTCTTATGGAAAATAAATATTCTCGGTAGAAACTTTATTCGGCAACTTGCTGCAAAAGTTAAAGTTTAAGCTCCTTGTTCATTTGGAAAGCAATTTTCTCTCTCAGCGGTCCCTAGTGTTCCCCAATTCGAAGACCAGCAGCAGAGAGCTTTACAAGCTCTGCCAATACACATCCTTAAAGCAAGACTTTGGGCAATACCAACCGACATTGGCTATGGAGATAGGCTCCCCTCAGCATGTCAGCTAGGCTGCGGATATACATTTGCTTTATCTTTTCTAGCAGCTTTCCTGCAAAGCTTTTGCCATGCTTCTCATTTTTCAAGTCCCAAGCAGATATGACCAAAATTAAATTTAAATGCTTGAGAAAAAAGCAGATATGTATTATATTAGGCTGTATTTATTCAAGTCACGGCTCACAGCTGGTAAACATTAAGCACTGCCCAAAAGGCAGAAAGACCACAAAACCCAATAAACAAGTTGCATGCATTTGATATGTTAGGGCTGTGGAAGGCATCCACTGTTTGGCTGCAGACTTTTTCTTGTAGAAAAAGCAGTTTTGGTTTGGCTTTAAATTTCTGGCATAGAGATTCCAATTGGGTTTAAATTCCTTTTTGACCTTAGTAAAAAAGAAAAGGTTAGAAAGTAGAGAGCATCTCCAACTACAAACAAGCTTCACTTCATCAAAAGAACAAAAAAACAAATGCACAAAAGGTTCATAGAAAAAGGCAAAATGAGAATAAAAAAGTAGCAGAGCTTCCATAAAAGCTCATTTCTCCATCCTTGATTCTTCTCTCTCCTCTCTCTCTCTCTCTATCTACCTTGTGTGAAGAGAACTTGTCATTATATTTTCCTCCCCACATCTATCTTCTTGTCTACGTTCTTCTGAAAATCTATGCTGTTCTTCTGTTAGAGAGCCAAAAAGCAAAATCCCAATGCCAAAATGGTGAGAACTACATTATGACTAATGTTTGCTCAACAAGTTAAGAGATTCTGTTTCACAGTCCAAGCAGGATGTAGTAAACCAATGTGATAGGCAGAGCAATTAGCATTCCAAAAATAACCCTGCACAACACAAAAACAAACTTGCTTATATCAGATTACTACGAGTTTAAGACTAAGAAGTGGAATTAAAATCAAGATGAGAGTTCGTGTTTTCGAACCCGGTGCTTAGTATGTCAGGATGAACATTGTATTCCTTGGCAAAGACAAAGGGAACAATCCCTTGTGGAAGAGCTGCCTGAAATCACAGAACAAAAGGTTATTTGTTATCCATTGAAGCCTCTGAAGAATTTTCCACAGGCAAACTTTCATTACCTGTACAATGGCAATGTGCAACAGAACACCTCGCAGTCCTACAGCAATTGAGGCTGCCGCCATGACAGCCGGACCGGAGAGGAATCGAACTGCCATGGCAAAGGAAGCAACTGAATTTCCACAGGCAATCATCTTTGGTTGTAATGCCATGAACAAGCCTGCAATCCCATTAAAGATAAAGCTCATCAATAATACATAATTCAGCCATCAAAGAACATGTCTAACTAGAGTTGTATAATATTTAGCACAAAAGGATTAACTTGGTAAGTTTAACATACCAAGACTAAACATGGCCATTCCAAGACCTGCATCTGACAGAATGGCGATTGAACGGGCCACGATTGCGGGCATAACAACATGCCACCTGAAAAATCACAACACAGATTATAAACTTCCATTTATGATTGTAAAGCCCTCTGAAAGTATTTCACAATTTAGTTACGCTTACTTATATGAGACTAAAGACCAGGTGAGGCCAATAAGGCTGGAGTAAGTGTTTGGATTCCGAATGAGTTTTCGCCAAACCATGATAAGAATCAGTCTGGTCATAACACTAGCAGGTGGCATGGCTGTGGCCTTTGGTTCACCATGAGCTGTCTTGGGATGGAGTTCAGTGGTGGAGCTTGAACCCAACTTGGAAAGCACAGGACCTTCACGGTCAACCCCATTTGAATTTGGTCTGTTGTCAAAGCTGAACTCATCTCGGCCAAACTCATCATAATCTAAATATGAAAGCAAAAACCAATTGTTGCAAATCAAAACATGAGAAAAAAAGGACATGACAAAAAGCAATGCCACTAGTCACCAGTAATGACAAAATAAGACCCAGAAACAAAAACCAGGGGATTTTGTTTTGGAAAAGCAACAAGAGAAAAATGGGGCATACAGAAAAGGGCATAACAAACAAAATCCAACAAACCCCACTTCTTCACCCACAAGCAGATAAAAATCAAATCCCACATTCATCCAGACAAATACAGTTTGCATAAATGTACAGAAAGATCCAAAACCTTAACAAATAGTTTACACATCAGAAACACAACAATCTAATAATAGAGCCAAAACAAGCATGCCCATGTGACAAATATTCTCAAAGATTAGTGTTGGCAAATTAGCTTACCCTTTTGGTGAGCAACCCCACCAATGTCATTGCCATACTCTCCACCTCTGAAAACATGAATGCCTCCTTCAGACACAGGTGAGGCGCTTGAGCTCCAAACAAACATGTGGAGGTCTTTACCGCCATCAGCCCCATTGGGTTTCTTCTTCGCATTGGGCCCGGTCACCGGAGAGAAAATTCCGGCTGTAGGAGGTGCGGGATACCCTGAATTCCCCGGCGGATAAACCCCATTTGCTCCTCTCATCCCAACTCCTCCTGCCTCTTCATCAAACCCAACATTTCCATAATTTGACTGCCTTGGACTCGCATTGCTCATGTTCTTGCCGTTCACCATGGAGTAGAAGTCAGTGTGATTAAAGCTTGAGCCTCTGGGAGTTGGGTTTCTTGAAGACTGAAGGCTGTAAATCTCAGCATTTGTTAGATTAGAAGGCCTTGGAGTTAAGGAAACGCCAGAGTTGGGTCCGTGGGATCTTCTGGAGTAGATTTCAGAGCGAGAGCTAGTAGATTTTCTGACAGTGACATGGAGCTTGCCATCTTCACCAACCTCAGCTTCTGTTTGCAACGGCTCTTTCCCATCTAAGGAAATGATATCAGAATCAACCCTGAAGGAAATGATGGAGCCAGCAGTGTCTGGGAACTGTTCTCCAATCAAGAGCCTAGCTCCTCTGTACTCAAACAAGAAGAGCATCAGAGTGTACCAAATGATGCATTGGAGGACCACAATTTGGACCATCAAGCTGCCTGAGGCATCTCCATACATACCCTTTAACAAGGGTATGCCCATGACCAGAGTGTTGGGGAGAGTGGAGAGAGAAAAGAGAGTTATGGACCATTCTAGAGAACCTCTTGAGCTGGTTCTTGACCATACTGCTAGGGCCACCAAGACTATGACTTTCTGAAGAGTGTCTGCTGCTATGAACCTGTAGTTCATGGCATAGGGATTGTTGGTGGAGATGAAGTGGAAAGAGAGCAGAGGAACTGCAAACAGAGCCACAAAGCGGTTTATGCCTGAACACTGATCAGGGCTGAAGATCTTCCACCATTTCACTGAGCCGTAGGCTAAGATCATGGCCACATAGAGTGGCACAACAGCTGTGAGAACGTGGTAGAGGTCTGTGAAACTGATCATGTTTTCTTGTTCTTTGTTTGTGTTTGTGTGTTTTTTTTTTTTTGGCTTAATAAAGGTCGCGCCTTTCCCTGTTTTTGATGGGTTGTGTTGGGATTTGAGGAAAACCCAGATGTGAAAATGGGATTAATGGCAGAACCCAAGGTGAGATAAAGCAGATGAAAACCAGTTTTCGTGTGACTTTGGACGCAAAATATCAACCCATTTTCAGGTAAAGAGTCAATGACAAGGATGGAGAATGGGAGATATTAAGTAAAGTGAAAACGAGAGCAACTGCCGGAAAATGACCAGAGTTTTTTATTCTCTCTCTACCGAGAGAGAGAGAGAGAGATAGAGAGGGAGAGATGGTGGCAAGTGGGGATGGGAGAGAAGAAGTAAAGTGGTTATATTTATGGCATTTTAATGGCAGACAAAGAAATAAAAGCAGAGGGCTTTTGAGAAACTTTTTTAAGTCTTTTCGTAGAGGAGTTGGCAATAGGCATCTCTACATATCTCAGACAAAGGGAAAGTAATTCAGTAATTGAGAGGGAAAAGACCAAACAGCATCGGAGAGAAAAGGGATGAAGAGGAAGGTAAAGCTAAAGGAAAGGGAAAGACTTCAAAAGATTCTCTTCACTGTTTTTTGTTTTTTGTTTTTTTCATGTCTATGTGCCGCGATGAGCGAGGAAATAGCTTCCTTGAAGGCTATGGTGGCGGACTTGCAGAAGCGTCTCTACTGTGCCAATCAGCACGTGGAAGCACTGCAGAGAAAAAATGAGGACCATGTGGAGCTGCTGCAGATTCTACAAGTGCGAGAAAATAGAGGCAAGCCATGATGATGATGGAGATGAAGAAGATGAAGAACATGATGAAGAAGATGATGATGAAGATGATGATGATGTTGTTTTTTTATTTTTATTGTTTTTATTTTTGTTTTGTTTTGTTTTGTTTTTTTCTTTTGTTATTTTTTTTTCTTTTTTGTTTTTTTTTAATGCAGCGTTTGAAATAAAAATGTGTTTTAACACTCAGAAATAAACTAACTAACCATACCACGTAAATAAATAAATAAATAAATAAAACTTAATTTAAAAACACACGAATATACAAGCAACTCACGGATGACCAGTTAAGGGCCTCAGAAAACACAGCCAGGGGATCCGGGAAGGTTGGAGGGGTCACAATGGTCCCGCTTAAAACCCAAACTTCTTAGACGCCGAACGTGTCGCCTAAAGAACTCCTAGACACTGTATTAACGGAAGTGCTCACTGGGGTTACCATAAGTCGGCTCATATGAAAAATCTTTTTTTTTTTTAATTTTAAAAATTTTAAAATAAGAAATAAAAACAAATTAAGATAAAATGAAACAACAAACCAAAAATGAAAATGAACTAAGTACTCTAAA